GCGTGTCGGTTGTGTTTCCCGTGGTTGTTCTCGATCTTATTTGATCAATATGTCGCTTCCATTCTTGTCCGTCGGTTGTTTGTACCCGGTACGAGTGGGGACCTGTTGCCTGGGTTATCGTTGCCGGTATCCAGAGAGGGTCCCCTCTAAGGTTTTTTGCGTATACTGCATCTCCTGCTGTAAATGTTCGGTACCGGCTTGATGAATTGGTGGGTTTTTCGGGGTTGTATGTGGGGTGCAGCCTATCCAGGGGGGACTTAGTTTCCTCCCCATTAGGAGTTCCGCGGGGCTTTTGTTGGTCGTTGTGTTTGGGGTTATGTGCTGGATGAAAAGAAGTTTATTTATTTTTTCCTGCATGTTCCCAGTCTCGATTTTTTGAATTGTTTTTTTTCATGAATTGGACCATTCGTTCCGCCCTACCATTCGCCACCGGATGAGCCGGCGCTGTCAGGGCGTGCCGTATTCCCCGTTCCGCTAGGAATTTCTCGAATTCCAGAGCGGTGAACTGTGGTCCGTTATCTGACACGATCACGTCTGGGAGGCCGTGGGTTGAGAATAGTCTGTTGAGTTTTCGGATGACGGCCTCGGTGGTGGTAGTTTTCATGTCGCTTACCTCCAGCCAATTGGAGTAAGCGTCTACCATTATGAGGAATGTGTGTCCTTTTGTGGGTCCGGCGAAATCTATGTGTATCCTGGACCATGGTCCCCTGGGGGTTTCCCACTCCCGGATTGGGGCGGCGGGTGGGCATGGTCTGGATTCCTGGCATTGCTTGCAGCTAGCCACCCAGGCTTCAATTTGCTTGTCCATCCCTGGCCACCAAGCGTAGCTTCTGGCCAAGGCTTTTGACCTGACGATTCCCAGGTGCCCCTCATGTAACAAGTCCAAGAACCTTTTGTGTAATTTTTCTGGGATTACCACCCTGTCCCCCCATAATATACAACCCTTCTGCGTGGAAAGTTCCAATTGTTTGTTTCTAAAAGTCCTGAATGTCTCATCGACGTCCTTTTCCAGCCAGCCCTTCTCCGCCCATTGTAATACTCTCGCCAGACGTTTGTCTTTATTGGTTTCGTGGGCAATGTCTGATGCGGTTAGGGGGAGATTGAGTATGGCCTCGATGCTCAAGGTGGGTGTTGTGGGTGCTGGGTCGGCGTCCAGGTCGGGTAGCGGTGTGCGGCTCAAGGCGTCTGCGTGTGTGATCGTTTTGCCGGGTCGGTGGATCAGCCGGTAACTGTAGGCGGCAAGGAACTCAGACCACCTTGTCATTCTTGGGGATAGAATGTTCGGGGTGGCCTTGTTCCCTGCCAGGATGCCCAACAGCGGCTTGTGGTCCGTGATGATGGTGAATGTCCTGCCATAGAGGTACTCGTGGAACCTTTTGACGGCGGCGATGATTGCCAGGGCTTCCTTGTCGAGTTGGCTATAGTTCCTTTCCGGCTTCGACAAGGTTCTTGAGTAAAAGGCGATGGGTGCTTCGTTTCCATTTGGGAGTGTGTGGCTGAGGATCGCCCCGATCCCGAACGGTGATGCGTCGCACGTGACTGTCAGCGGGAGGGTCTCGTTGTATTGGATGAGGACGGCATCCGATGTGAGTAGGTCCTTGGTTTGGTTGAAAGCGGCTTCCTCTCGTTTCCCCCAGGTCCAGGTGGCTGTTTGATCAAGCAGCCTATGCAACGGTTCCACCGCGGTCGCCTTTTGGGGTAGGAAAACATTGTAGAAATTAATCAGCCCAAGAAATGCCTGCAGTTCTGTTTTATTCCTTGGTCTGGGGGCTTCTTTGATGGCTCTGATTTTTTTCTCGGTTGGGTGGATGCCGTGCCGGTCTAGGAGATATCCTAGGAACTCGACCCTCTCTGTATGCAGCTGGCATTTTTCTTTTTTGACTTTAAGCCCGGCCTCTTTGAATTTTGTTAGTACCTCCCTCAGGCGACCCTCCAGTTCTCTTTGGTTGGCTGCTGACACCAGTACGTCGTCGAAGTAGGGCACCACCCCCTTGATTCCTTGTAGGAGTCTTTCCATGAGGCTCTGGAAAATTCCTGGGGCTACGCTGACTCCAAACTGGAGTCTCTTACAACGAAAAGCCCCCCCGGTGGGTTACTATGGTCTGCGCCTTGGCGGTTTCTGCGTCGACCGGTAACTGTTGGTAAGCTTGTGCCAGGTCGAGCTTCGCAAAAACCTTGCCTCCCCCCAGTGAGTGTAGGAGGTGCTGCACTACTGGGATGGGGTAGGCGCTTTGTTGTAAGGCGCAATTTAGGGTGGCCTTATAGTCCCCACAGATTCTCACCGACCCATCGGGCTTGACTGGGGTGACTATGGGGGTCTCCCACCGGGCGTGATCAGTCGGCTCTAGGACCCCCTGTTTGATGAGCTTGTTTATCTGCTCATCGATCTTAGGTCGGAGTGCGAAAGGTACCCGCCGTGGTTTTAAGCGTATCAGGGGAACGCTGGGGTCTAGACTGAAGGAGATAGGGGGCCCTCGGTACTTGCCTAGGGTGCCGTCGAACACTTCCTGGAAGTCCCTTGCGAGTTGCTCTTCCCAGTCTGCCTCTGCGATGTGGTTGATGCCGGTTACTTCGATCCCGAGCGGCGCGAACCACTGTAGTCCCAAAAGGCTGGGTCTGTCTCTATCCACGACCGTCAAGGGAAGCCTTGCTGTGCGCCCTTTGAAGGTTACTTCGAAGAGTCCTGTTCCGACTACGGGGATGCGGTTCCCTTGGTAGTCTTTAAGGATTAACTTCTGGCTTTCCAGCCCCCTCTTGTGGATTGCGGGCACCAGGCGCTTGATTTCCCGCCATGCAACCATGGAGAGGTAGTACCCGGAGTCCACCTCCATTTTGCATGGCTTGCCCTCGATGCCCACTTTTACGTATACCTTTCGGGCGTCTGTGCTTGATGAATGGCCGATGACAACCGTCTGGTGGGTCTCCTCTCTCCGCCGGTTTTCACCGTCCCGTCAGGCCCGTCCGTCCCGGTTCCAATGACCCTTGGCTTGGCGGTCCCTGGGCCTGGGGGGGGGTTGCCGTCTCGTCTCCGGTCGCTGTTGTCTTGTCGTCGGGGGCTGTAGGCCTTCTTGAGTCGGCAGACTTGGGCGATGTGGCCTCTTTTATCGCAGTGCTGGCAGATCGCGTCGAAAAACCGGCACTCCGATCGAGAGTGGTCGCCCCCGCATCCGGCACATTAGGGTCCCGACTTACGACTCCACCGGTCGCACCGGTCTCGTTCTGTTTGGAGGCGATGGATGTCCTCCTCCTCGTCCGTGGTGTCAGAGGGGGAGTCGAGGTCGCCATGGTGTCTGCTGGTGGCCTCTCGGCGGCTTGCTTCTGGGCGCATCTCGGTGGCCGTACCTGCCTCAGAGGTCGCGGCTCGGTCCCCAGTGTCCGGTCTCCGCATTCGAGCCGCCGATTTCTGGGTCGCCTCGGCTGCGGTGGCCTCGGCAAGGGCGTCGGCGAGGGAGATGTCTCCTTTGGCCATCAGCCAGCTTTGCAAGACTGGATCCTTGAGCTCAAGGACAACACAGTCTCGTAGTGCCTCGTCCATATCCGTGAAACCGCACATGCCCCCTAGATTTCGTAGGTCTGCCATGAAATCACTGATGCTCTCACCCGGTTTCTGGTCTCGCCGGTAGAAGTCGTGCCGTCTGATGAGGGTGGGCACGGCGGGAGCATAGTGGCTTTGGAACAACGGTTCGAGGTCGGCCCAGTCCATCGCCTTCACGTCCTTGGGTTTCGCAAGGGCTTTTGCCATCTTAAACACTGCGGGCCCGCAATGTGTCAGGAAAACAGCCCTTTTTTTCTGCCCGTTTGCGTCCTTGAGGTTGCTACTTTCCAGGAACATTAGGAACCGGTCAATGTATGATTCCCAGTCCTCAGTAGCTTGGTCGAAGGGCGCGGGCAGGTGAGGTTGGCCATCTCGTCGATCTCGTTCCCTCGGGACCACGTGTTTGGTGGGGATCAGCTCTGGTATCCCACCTTCGTCGCCAGTGTTGTGTCCGTCGGAAAAGGAGACTCGGGAGCCAGTGACTTAGTTCAACTCTTTATTAAGTTCCGAGATCAGCTCGGGGTACAGAAGAAAAGCGGCGGCTTTTATTCTCTGGCCGCGGCGGCCGTGGCCAATGGCACCGCTTTGAATCTCCCGCGATTAGTTTCCACCAATCGCGGGGGATTCGTGGTGGGCCAATCAGTGCGGCTCGCTCAGCCAATCAGGTTGCTGTGCATTCTGACCAATCACAGCGTGGCGCTTGCAAGTATGTTAATGGATCGTACAGAACACTTACTGTCCTTATCTCTCTCTTTTTCAAGCTATTGGTTGATAATTGACAGCAGGTTTTGATTTGAATTGCAGATAGAAAAAGAGATGACTATTTTAGTCTGGATTCTGGGATTTTATTTTAGTGGTTTAAATGTAGATTAGATTTGTTAATTGTATTACTTGTTGGCTTCTTTATGCTGCTTTTATCCTGTCTTTCTCCCCTAGGCCCTCAAGGAAGATAATCGTAAGCAATAAAACATATAACACGTAAAACCTTATTAAAGCAGTAATAATCATTGATATAATTTTATTTACTTATTTCTATGTCATCCATACATATTTTATGCTTCCAATTCTATTTCAGGGTTATTTACCCCCCCCCAAAAGGAAAGAATGCTACTAAAGTATTATTAACCTATACCAGTAAGTAGTACAGTAAGACTAGCTGTGTTGTGAAGTGCAAAGAAACATTAGCCAAAGCACGATCACTGAAACATTTCAGAGAATAAATTGATATTTATTATGACTTTCTGAAAGATTGTATATTGTTAGATAACCATAGTATGGGAATTAGATAAAAAATCAGCAGTGTGTACAAACCAGTCTCTTATAGTTGTCGTTGTGTTGTTTAATCAACCTGAACAAATTATATATTACTGTTGCACAATACATTGAATGCTGTCCAAGTCTGGTACAGGTGCATTGACCAAAAAAACAGGCTGCTTCTCTTTTCCACATGGAACTTTTCCTCGATTTTCAAACTCCTTTACTCCAACCAGCAAATTTAACTATTTCACAGATGAAGTCTATAGTAGGACAACTTTCGGAAAAGGTCTGTCTGCTTTTCTTTCTTTTTCTTTCTTTCTTTCTTTCTTTCTTTCTTTCTTTCTTTCTTTCTTTCTTTCTTTCTTTCTTTCTTTCTTTCTTCTTTCTTTCTTTCTCTCTCTCTCTCTCTCTCTCTCTCTCTCTCTCTCTCTCTCTCTTTCTCTCTCTCTCTCTCTTTCTTTTTTTTTCTTTCTTTCTTTTTGTAAATCTTGTAAGTAACTTGTATGTCTACAACCTGCATGCTGAAGATGACCTGGAGTAGAATGTATTTTGAAAATGGGTGCAGCAAAGAATTAAAAGCAATCAACTTTTAATGTAAAACATTATTCAGGTTGTATTTTATGTTTTCTTTTTGTATGTATGTATTTAGGTCCTGAATCCATTCAGTGCAAAGATCAGTGATTGCTAGAGCCAAAGTCCACTACAAAAGATCAGATTGGCGAAGCGTCTGCCAGATAGAATAAGAAAAGAATTGGAAAGATTCATTATCAAGCATGCATATGTATATCTTTGTATAAGTTAGAATTTCAGCTGCTTCACAGGAACTTCCCAGGAAACTAGAAGGTGTGGCTTCTGCATAGCAAGAGAATTGAGGTCACCTTCCTATCCCTGCCAATCAGTCAGGAAAAATAAATACATCTGTGCTATACTTATAATTTGAATTATGTAGTATTTCAAGCAATCTTTTTCCTAACTGCATTTTCTCTTTTATAACTCTCTGAAGTGACTTTTTTTTTTTTTTTTTTAAAAAGCATAATTTATATATACATTCATCTTTCTTATGTTGCTAAAGAACAACATAAAAGCAACCATGGCCCTATGGTCATGGAATAGGAAAGAACAAACCTCAATGTATTTATAGATGCAAGGCAGCATGTTCATTACATACTGCAGGCAATTCCTCAAGAGCTCATATACAGAGAACATGTCACCTTTAAATGGGCAAGGAACTGTCCTGAGAAGTTGGCAGACTGACAATTAGGCGAGGAGAAGCTTTAAAGTAGCAGAAGAACTACAATGCAGTGAGGAATATGGTGCACAATTGAAAACCTGTGAAGCTGCAGATCATTAACTATAACTATTTTCTGCTTCTAATTTCACGTGATAAACTTTCTATCCAAGACTTCTCTAATCAATTCACAAACTCTCCCTCAGAATTTTTTTACCTCAATTTCTATCTCTATCCCATCTGCTTTTCAATCCTAGTATCTTTCTAACGAATGGCAGTTAAGAAATATATAAATAAGAAAATTGGAAGTCTATTCTCAGTCATCCAGGTCATGATTGTCCCAAAGGTGCTATTTTTTTCAAGAGGCAACTGGACTGCTTCTCATCCAAGAAGCTTCTTCAGCTCAGTTAAAGATGATTTTAGATAACAGTATTGTACTTCCTTATCTGGGAATGTCCCACTAAATTCAGTTAATCTAACTTCTTACTATAATATATACAGTAGCACTGCATGGTTAATTAGTCATTCCTTAAAGGTTACAGTCCTACCTGGGCAAATCTTGCCGTGGTTCAATCCCTGGATTTATGAAGAAATGGGGGAGACACTTAAGAATTTATAAATTGTAGCCTATGTGTTTGCTCTGAAGCAAGAAGGTGGCCTTCATGAATTTCCAAAAGCTTGTAAAGTCCTGGCGATTTCAAAAAGGCTTTGGGGACTAAAGATGGATCAGTATTGAATAGTTCTAGTTGAGAAGAACACTTGTGAGAGTTACATTACTATCTTTGTATTTATTGTTGTAGATATGGATTGTACTGTTGATTTTATGATATGCTCAAAGTCAAGCAGTATGAGAAATATTGTGATAAACAGACATTTCTAAGATAAAGAACTTTACAAGGCTAGGAAAAATGTCTGTCTCAATAAGAAGGGACATACAGAAAGAGTCTTGGGAAGTAAATAGACCAATATTCAAATATTCTGCATGAGATAGTAATACAGGTCAAAAAGCATTGAACTGGACCTTGCTACAATACTTAGTTTAACAATGCACATCTTGGATTTTTCAAGCATTTACAACATTTTGTGATTGTTTCATAAATATATTCTTTGCATGGATCTGAACTTCAAACTTGCAATGAATAGATATTTTTAGAACCTGTCGGGTTCTAGTTTTTAGGTTGGTTTTCCCTTGCTTCATGGGTAATGACTTATTTCTTGACTGAATTTTTAAAAATGCATGTATAAGAATGTTCATTTGTTAAGATAACATACATAAAGTTTGTAAAGATTCCTTACATGATGTAACATTACATATATTTATCAGAGAATACATAATAATGGACATGGTGGGATATATTTTCCAGACATTGCATGGGACTTAACAGTAAATGCATGCACTGTGAATAAAAATGACGTGGAAAAACATGGCTCTGAAGACTGGCAACAGATATCTATAGAATGCCACACTTAATACTAAATGTTAAGCCACATTAGTGGAAACTCTGCAAAGAAGACATTGGATGCTGAAATACTTCGCTCTGTACATATGAATTCAATTGTCACCTTTCAGAATTCTCAGTCAAAATCAAAGTTGATTGCACTATCAAGAAACTATGGGAATTGTAATCCAAAAATTGCAGGAAGCGATAGGTTGGACAAGGCTATGCTTGTCATCCCATAAGTGATTGAATTTGCTACCATAGCTGTTTCAGAATCACTAGCAAGAAAATGAGCAGCAGCTGCAACTTGTTTCATCACAACATCAGTTCAAGCTAAAAATGGGGCAACGGTGGTGGTAATTTTAGATACACAAGGGTACATGTTTAAAGGATCAGAGAAAGAAACCTGCCATCTGGGCAGTTGAACTGGATGAAACCTGAGATCCTTTTGCAGTTCTGATGCTATCCATGTAGCCACCCATATTTAATTACTTTGTATTTGCATAATTAAACATTGGGATCTTTGAATCAAGATGGCATCCTGCCAGTAGTTGCACACCTATGTGTTAGCAAGGTGTCTGTGGATTTGTCTAGGTGGGGGTATATCTAATAGTAATGCAGTATAAGTAGCTTAGTCTTAGTGACAAATTGATGTACTCAGCCCGTCTTACCAGCTGAAAGTAATGTATCTTTGATGTAGATCTTGCCCAAAGCAGGGACTGGGTGTGGTAGATACTCAAACCTGCAAAAATGTTGTTGTAACCTTTATGTGGTGAACCTCTTATCTCTAATTGTTTCTCAGATTCCTCCTAAAGCCCAGAAAATGGAACATTTTCTGTTCTCTTTCAGCACAGAACTGAAGAAATGTGTAAATTTACAGGGAGATGTATACAATCTTGTTTTTAACTTGGCGTGTTTTCCTTTCCAATCCCTTAAGCTACTGTATTTATGGTACTTTTTGTAATGGATCAGTTCTAGAGCCTGTGAAGCAAAACCTGAGCTTGTCTCACTCCAGCTTGCTCCAACCTGACATTTAGCCATCACTCTAACCCTAATCACAATCTTCCACACAACAGCTGGCTATGCTAGCTGGGCTTGTCATAGCTGTAGGCTAACACCTGCAAGACACTGGCTTAAGAAATCTGCTTTAAAATTTGGTGAGCTGATTTTATTAACAGCAGTCTGAAAATTCCAGTGGGTTGGCATTATAGGAGAAAACTTTGAATGGCTCAAATGAAGCCAGAGCAATTCTAATGGGAAAATAGGAGCAATAATTATCTTGTCCTTCAGAATATAGACACCCAGAAAAATGCATCATGATCTTGATTTAAATACTCAGGTTTAATTCTGGAAGATGCTGATTATTTTATATTCTGGGTTTGTTTGTTTGTTTTTCTTTTTAATCATGAAACTTGAATTAATATATCGTGAAGTTTCTAGACAGGTCTCTAATCCAGTTCCAGACCTTGGTTAATTTTAGATAGGTAGCCTCTTTGGAGTTTTAACTATTTGGAGTTTTAACTATTTGGAGTTTTTTGTATTTTGAGTTCCAAATCTTTAACGTATATATTGAATGGCTCTTTATTGATTCAAGAAAATATCTGCTTCATTGTATGGTCCTAACTGGTTGACACCTTTAATTATTTGAATTTTCGTAATTACATTGCTGCAGCTTCAACATTCTTTCCAATCTTAATTGTTTTAGATGGTTCTGATTGATCAGTAGCTGGTTTTGTAACCTGGCTTTTATTAAGTGCTCACTTTTATCTTACTGCTATTGCTTTTAATTTAAGTTATAAGTAATGGTTCCAAATTTAGTCGGTCAGTTAGTCTGTCAACCATATATGGCCCTCTATTAGGAATGCGGATAGCACTGCTGCAAATAGCTGATTGAATGGTCACTCCATTTTCAAGGTGCTTGCAAGAAAATGGAATACATGCTACACTGGGTGGACCTTTAACCGAGTTCAGAGATCGCTATTGTCTTCTGAAGATTTCAGAATATGTGCTTCAAGCAAAAATTTAGCAAGCAGATAATGCATATCTGCGATGCACATTTTTAAAAATCACATGGGAAAATGAACTTACCAATTTTAGCTATCCTCTGCATTTTGTACTAGCAATTGTATTCATATATGATTACATTTACAGCATAATTTATATTATTAATATTAAATTAGAACTTCTTAGAGGTATTTCACAGAATATTGCCACTCAAGTATACTGCTAAACCACTTTGCTGATTTTTACACTCAGGTATTCTAACTTTTTGCAATGTGAAATAATTAAATTAATTGAAAAATAGGACAGACTCTGAAAAATATAATGTATGAAATGATGTGCTATTATTTTAATAGTAATAGTTTATTCTTCATCAGTCAGTACAAGTCAATACAATCTATAGCCAAACCTGCTAGGGATTATGATATATAAAGCAACATATCTGGATCACATTGAATCGAATATTCTAACTCATCTGTAGGGCTGCAATTTAGAAAATGTCATCTATTATATGACATTTATTTTGTCATTATGTTTTTCACTATAAAGCAAACATTGGATATCATCTTAACTACTGTATTCTTCTAATCCCATTTGGTAGAGAAAATATATTATAGGAATGGGGCTTCTTGAGTATGTTAGAACTATATCTAAAACATCATGGAAAGGCCCTACAATCTTAATGATTACCAGTCCTGTGGAATATTGATCAAAATTGGAAAATTCAGGGATAAAGAATTGACTTTCTTCAGAGTGTTATTGATAAGATGTTTTTTTAATCACTTCTGTATCTTTTTTATTCTAATTCTTGTAAGCCTTGACCTTTGAGAAGATTGGCAGGACCCTGGAAGTATAGAATAATTTGGAAGTGCATAATTTGGAGGTGGGGGAGTAACCAGATTGATTCCTGGTAATACAGAGATTATGAGCAACAACAGGGAAAGAGGCAATCCCACCTCTCCTCAAGACTCCCATATGCTCTCAAAATCATCTACAAAAAATTGAGAATCCTGGATAAGCAAGCCTGGAGAGGAAAGGAAGGAATCTTTGCACGAGGTTCACTTGTACAACTTTACTTCATCCCTGATTTGATTTAGTTCTAGTCCTGCCTTAGCCCAACTTTGGGTCAATCACACTCTCTCAGCCCAACCTACCATACAGGATTGTTGTTGGAAGAAAAGAAAGGAGCATTATGTAGATTTGTGTCCTTATTTATAAAACAAATAAAAGCAGGAGAACTGTTTTAAAAAATGCATGAACTTGAGCCATTTATCCATATGACATAACTGGAAGAACTAGAATATAAGAAGAAATATCTCCTCCCCACAATCCTGGTCTAAATCTATTTATAGCCTCAAAGTGGTTGACTGGATTTCTGGAAGAATAAAACTGTTAGATTATGATTCCACAGATTCTGTTGTTCATAAATCCAAGATGTGCAATCAAATACCTGTCACTTTTTTTAATATGCATTGCACATCAGAAAGAGTCTAAAAAATGGATAAGAAATGAAAGACTAAGGAGAAGAAGAGATGATGGATAAAAAGAATTACCATTCAAATATTTAGGTAGCCTGATTGTAAGCTAAAGGAGGCAGAAATAAAATTAGATAGGGGAAATATTAGAATATATATTTTTTATAGAATGAATAAAAATAATAGATAGAAAAGACTAAAAAATTACAGATATTAGGCATTTCCTTTTATGTATTTTTCAAATAATATAATGAGAATTACTTAATTTGATAAATGTGATAGGGATTACTAATATTGTTAGCGTGAATTGGATCAATATGAATGATACTTAGAATTAATTTGGTTTATATATATAAATAAATGTTTAGATTGAACAAGACATAGATGAATATACATAGACCAATCTCCTTATGCTGCGTCACCTGTAAAGTCATGGAATCAATTATTAACCAATCCATTATCCTCCACTTAGAGACAAACAACCTAATCTCTAATAAACAATTTGGTTTCAGAAAAAAACTATCCTGTAATCTGCAACTCTTACACTGCAAAAACATATGGACTACACAACTCGATCAGGGCAAAACAATAGACACAATCTACATAGACTTCTGTAAAGCCTTTGATTCAGTGGTACACAACAAACTACTCCTAAAACTAAAATCTTATGGTATCTCTGGACAACTACATAACTGGATAGAAGCATTCCTGTCAAACAGACAACAAATGGTCAAAATTGGGACTGTCCTATCAAATTCTGTACCTGTCAATAGTGGTGTCCCCCAAGGCAGTGTTCTAGGACCAACTCTCTTCATACTCTACATAAATGACCTCTGTGATCATATTAATAGCAACTGCATTCTCTTTGCTGATGATGTAAAGCTGTTCAATACCACAGACAATACTGCTACCCTTCAAAAAGATTTTGACTATGTATCAGAATGGTCAAATAAATGGCAACTTCAAATCTTCAATTAAATGCTCTGTCTTACATATTGGCAAAAAATATCAGAAAATAAAATACAAGCTGAATAGTCAAGACCTTGTTGATGATCCAAGCTCTGTAAAGGACCTTAGAATACTCATCTCTATTGATCTAAGTGCTAGAGCCCACTGTAACTACACAGCCAAAAAGGCATTAATCTAAACTTACATAGCTTTTTCTCTGGTAATATCACACTACTAACTGGAGCATACAAAACATTTGCTAGACCAATACTCGAATACAGCTCATCAGTCTGGAACCCACATTACGTATCTGATATTAGCACAGCTGAGAAAGTCCAGAAATATTTCACAAGAAGAGTTCTCCACTCCTCTACTCGTTGTAGAATACCTTATGCTACCAGACTCGAAATTCTAGACCTAGAAAACCTTGAATTACGCCGTCTTCGGTCCGATCTAAGTATGGCATATAAAATCATACATTGCAATGACTTACCTGTCAATGAATACTTCAGCTTCAGCCATAACAACACAAGAGCAAACAATAGATACAAACTCAAGGTTAATCGCACCAAACTTGATTGCAGGAAATACGACTTCAGCAACAGAGTGGTCAATGACTGGAATACTCTACCTGACTCTGTGGTTTCTTCCCCAAACCCCAAAAACTTTAACCTGAGACTGTCTACTATTGACCTCACCCCTTTCCTAAGAGGTCTGTAGTGCACCAATGTGCCTACCGTCCCTGTCTTATTATTTCTTTTATTTTTCTTATATGTACCCATTTCATGTATTCATAACCATGTATATACTTATACCTATTATCTTGTAAGCGATTGACAAATCAAAATAAATAAATAAATAAATGAAGATAGAGATAAAGATGAGGAATTAGGGTTTTTTTAGTTGTTGTATGCTTAAACAATATAATGAGGGTTACTTAAATTTGACAAACGTAATAGAGGCTACTAATATTGTTATGATGAACTGGATTAATATGAATGATACCCAGAACCAACTCTGTTCACACACAATGTGAATGTATATTTGGAAAAATAATAAAAAACATAGAAAGAAAGAAAGAAAGAAAGAAAGAAAGAAAGAAAGAAAGAAAGGAAGGAAGGAAGGAAGGAAGGAAGGAAGGAAGGAAGGAAGGAAGAAACAAAAAGAAAGGAAGGAAGGAAGGAAGGAAGAAAGAGAAAGAAAGAAAGAAAGAAAGAAAGAAAGAAAGAAGGAAGGAAAGAAAGAAAGAAAGAAAGAAAGAAAGAAAGAAAGAAAGAAAGAAAGAAAGAAAGAAAGAAAGAAAGAAAGAAAGAAAGAAAGAAAGGAGTAAGGACTTCAAATGCATGGCTGTAGCATTTTTCTACTCCCCTTGAAGATGCTCCGGATGATAGAGGCATTCACTTGTGGGACTCCACTTATTTATTTGTAATGGTTTTTTAAATTTTTGCAGGCTGTCACTAAACACATGCGAGCAGCTGTCCAAATTTCTGTGCTGTCTGTGTCTCACTTGGTCTCAGCGTATGGGAAATGCCATAGTGATATCTACTGTAGGAACTAGAAGGTTTTCCTGCTCATTTTTTTTTATATTTTGTCCTGCTATTTCTTTGCCTTCCTGTCATTCTTCCTTTCATAAAAAGCAAGACCTAGACATCACTGCCACCATCATCATTTTAAGATGTGTGGGAATTACATATAATTGATAATGTTGCCTACCTGAATTAAATATAGTTCAATTTTTCTACTTTGCCGATGGATGTTACCTACTAGGAACTCACTTCTATGCTGACCAATCAATGTCATTGCCAATGTTCCACCCTGGGTGAATGTTGCCCATTATGACGTCACACTGAGGCTGTCATCATTTTAGGCAACAGTTGATCAGTTGTAGCTTTTTGCAGGTTGGAAAGAGAGAGCATTGTAGTTTCCTGGAAATGCCACCCACATAAAGGAGGGAAACTGACTTCGGGATGATGATCCTATCAAAGAAGAGAGATCAGTGCTATGCTTATGTATCTTCAACAACAGTCTAACAGGAGTATTGCACATTCAAGGTTATTGATTCAGTTTTAGCCCAGACTAATTTTGCTTTGAGAGAAAACTTACTTCTTCTCCCAGTCCATTAACTATTCCCATATTATGTGAACTACTTCCCTGATGATTAACTGTTCCTTTTTATGTTTGTGATGGAATCAAAGCCTGAGAGAAGCACTGTGAAAAAGGGAATTCTCTAAGCATTACAAAAAGTCTGTGGACTTTTTGGTTTTCAACCCTCAAACTTCAAAGGCCAACAGGTGATGAAAAAGAGACAGAAGTTGGTAGGAAGAGGGTTTGCCAGCACAGCTCCTGACACAGTGAAGCCAACTCCAAGTGTACCATTACAGAGTATTAATTTTATCCTCAAGTAGTAAAACAATACAAAAGAAAATGACCAGTTTCCTTTGCAGTGCCTGGAAGGACTAAAATTGTAGCCAATAGACAACTATTTCAGCTAATGACATCCTTGCTGAAAGAAATGTTTGGGGAGGAGACCACTGAATGTCCCAAACTCTTTTCAATCACTATCTTGAGAAATGGGCCCTTTGTTTTCAAACCAGGTGAGGGATTCTTCTGCTTTCATTTCTCCAATCCAACTCTGATCTCTCCTTGAACAGGCCAGATATTATCAAACTGAGCTCTAAATCCTGTTAGTTCCCTCACTTTTCTGTATTGTGCCTACTTAATATATTTTGAATGGATGGTCTCAAGTTGGGGAGGAAGACATGTTGGCTAGAAAATTATAAGAGTTGTAGGCCAAACCGTAAGTAGCCGATCTTGACAAATACCAGTCATTTCTGTAATGAACAGTAAATATTAAAGACCTTGGCAGCTAGCCTTAGAGATAGGAACTCAGGAAAGTTGTCTTGAAAAAAAAAGTTCCTATTATAGAATCTACACGGGAAGCAATGAGACATTAAATCAAAACCTCAAAACAAAATTTTAAATTATGAAAATCAAAGTGAAATTGAAGCTAAATATTACTTATATCACACTGGAAAATATAGGCTCCATAGTTTATAAACATGAAATAGACCAAATATAGCATGAAATAGACCAAAACATCCCTTGTTCACATTCTCCAATGCTTTTTTTTTTTCCTGCTGATAATTCTGCTCATTAGCTCTTTTTTGCTTTTCAAGACATATATAGACGGGTAGGCAATGAAATCTCAGTCTGTATTGTTCCTATAATGCATTTAACCAAACACAGGTTTACTATATTATAGAAACCCCAGATAAGTGGGGTTGAAGATAAGTGTTAGTTTTAGCCAGAAGCAATCTGTTTTTTTTTTCCAAGCTTACCATTTTTTGCCAGTCATTTATGAAGATAGAAGGGAGGGTTAATAAGATTCAACATTCTCTTCCAGCTACTGGCAGAGGGCTGAAATTTTAGAACACCTTCAGCGAATCAACATTTCTTTGGGAAAACATTCTGTGTGGGTCTGTGTCTTTTTTTGTGTGTGCTTTGCATGCCCTCTCTTTTGAGTTACTCCATCTCTCTCCTTCACCAAATCAAAATACAGAACAGAACTTAATAACAGAGTTGGAAGGGACCTTGAAGGTCATCTAGTCCTACCCCCTGTTCTGGCAGGAGACCTTATTTGGACTGCTATTTCTTTGCAAGATCCAGGGGAGTGTTCATTTTCTCAGCTTAATTGGAAGGAATGATAAATGACATTTCCCACTCAACTGACATGGAAATAGCAATATGCTCAACAGCATCAAACCCTGTGAAAAAGGCCCAAGACTTCAGCGCTTCCTCTTAGCTACTTGTATTCTGGGAGCAGAGAGATTTATCTTTATCATTTATCTTCTGGATAAATTTTCCTCTTCTTGCAAAAGAGATGCAGGTGCCTGATGCTTTCTGCAGTCAGCATTTTAGGACATAATTGCTGGCTCAGTTCAATTCAGATTTTCTTTGTGTTTCTGGTATTTAGTTGAAAAAAAATCAGGTATGATTCACAACCACTGTGCCAATTTTCAGAGAGGGGTGGGGCAAAATAATGGACCTCACTTGAGGCATCTAATCTGTGAGTAATGCAGAAGACATTCAGTATGAAATGTGTAACATGTGTTTAATTTGTGTTATTTAATTACAGTAGACAGCATATTTGATTCTTGAAGCCACAGGCCTTCGTCCATCCTCTTATTTCCCAGGTTTTAAGAGAAGCATTTGGACAAATGAATCTTGATGTTAGTTTATATGCTCACAGTTCATTGTGACAAAGGCCAAAAGTGTTCCACCATATCAATAACTTTTTTTTGCTTATTTTTAAACTGCATCCTTATTCATTAATGGCTCTGAATTCAGAATGAATTTTCTTTAGCTCAGATTTCATTTGATTCCCTTGATTATTGCTTTTGAATCACCACATTATAAAAAAGATGTTGAGGCTCTAGAAAGAGTGCAGAGAAGAGGAATCAGAATGATTAGGGGACTGGAGACTAAAACATAGGAAGAACGGTTACAGGAACTGGGCTTGGTTAGTCTAGTGAAGAGAAGGACCAGGGGAGACATGATAGCAGTCTCCCATTATTTGAGGGGCTGCCACAGAGGAAGGGGTCAAGCTATTTTCCTAAGCGCCTGTAGGCCAGACAAGGAATAATGGATGGAAACTGAACAAGGAGAGATTTAACCTGGAAATAAGGATAAACTTTCTGACAGTGAGAACAATCAACCAATGGAACACCTTGCCTTCAGAAGTTGTGGGAGCTTCATCACTTGAGACTTTCAAGAAGAGATTGGACTGCCATTTGTCAGAAATAGTGTAGGGTTTCCTGCTTAGGCGGGGGGTTGGACTAGATGACCTATAGGGTCCCTTCCAACTCTGATTATCTGTAATATATTGCTAGACTTTTCTCATTTTGTAGCTCCAAAATGCATTCTGATTCTGATCCGGCTAGATTGACCTCTCTTGATCAATAAATGTCTGTTAGAATGATATTTTCATTTTCTTCAGTCTTGCTCTAAATACAAAGTCAAGATATAAAGAGCAGTTTCTAAGACATCAAAAGTGCATTGTTCTGTTTACACAAGAAAGTAAATAGGTTTTTTTTCTTTCCTATGAAAATTCATAGGAATCCCCACCTATTTTGCTTTAGAGCAGAATAATGTGTTAAGTGGAAGATACACAATTTCCAATCCTCGGGAGACAAATGCAAATTAAGTGCATTTACTGCCTCAAGTTGTTCTAAATACATTTTAAAAGGCAGAATAAAATAGTGATGATGATGTCGTCTAGAGGAAAACTGGCAAGAAGATCATTTTTCCATCCACTAAAAATGCCTCTTACTCAGCCATATTCCTCTTAGTTTGACAAGCCTCCATTTGAGAATGTACATGTTCCAAGATAAGAGTATTGCCCTGAGATGCCATATCAAAAACTATGTTTCTTAAAGTATTAGGCAAAAAGAAGAGCATGTAAATATCGAGACAGAGATCCCCTGGTGTGCAGTTGGCTCTCAAAGGCTAACTGATGTTTTATTAATACTCAAATATATTACTCTTATTTTCAATTTCTTTGGAGCTCTGGTTTGCACTTCTCCCATCAGTTCCATTCTGTGATCACTGAGCAACACCATTTCTCTCTGGTCAATTTAACTGGTGTGAAGTGCCCAGAATCACTTAAGTGAGATGGACAGACATACAGATCAAATAAGTAAACAAATCTTCTATTTTTGTAATTCTTCAACTCCTACAGATCACTGTCTGCAGGATCCAATCTGGGTCAGTCACTGGGAGCAAACATTTAGTTTTCTGAACTTTTAGATTTGTGCTGGAGCACATCCTCAGGAAACTTTTATCTAGTAGAATATAGACTTTGGGCTATTCTGTGTGTTATATTTGTGTGATGCCTGGTTGATATGGCTTCCTATTAGTTGATTGAAGTGTTGATGACCATCTATTAAATTGTTGGTTGTTTAGCCGGCCATCAACACCCCAATCAACCAACAGGAAGCCACATCCAACTAGGAACCACACAAATACCACACACAGAATAATCCAAACCAAACATTCCTGTAGAGAAAAGTTCCTTGAGGGTGGGTCCCAGCACACGTCCAAAAATTCGGAAGACTAAATTTCTGTCCCAGAGACAGATCCATATTGGATCCTGCAACAATATACTGGGACACATATATTTGGCTTCCTTTGTGAGATCACTCTCTTTCTTCAGTGCAGTAATACAATAATCATTTCTGAACACTGGAAATGGAGTTGAGGTGATTTAACATTCTTTTCAGTTGGCGTCAGTCAAAATACAAGTTATTCATAGGGTGTGCTACAAGCCAATTAGAGTTGATTGAGCAAGATAAAGACATCTTTAACTAATTTTTCATGTATATCTTTAACCTCCTTCACTTTCTTACAGCAATTTGGAACCTACAGAACCTTTTGAGATTATATCCAATTGAATGCAAGCATACAGAGGATTAGTTTTTTCACTTCTAATACCAGTTTCATCACTTTTCTATTAACATTATTACCTAGTTTTATTATCTAGTGTTCCTGAAACTTATATCTGGAGTTCCCTTGTTTTTTTTCTCATGAATGATACTTTCGGATACATTATTATGCAAAACTGATCTCAGTTATTTTCCCACATTGCTAGCGTTTTAATTTCACAATTCTCAGGTTTCACTAAAATGTAAATCTTACTCAGACAGCTATTATGCTGCAATGGCTAAGTATCTATAAGATATGAAGCCCATTATTCAAATTTCCTCTACCTCAGGCAACCACAATTCTCTCATTTATCTGTAACATAGGTATAATAAGATGGCCTACCCATCTCATAGCATCTTAGCCATTTAGGCATTATTTCTTGCTCTTAACTTGTAGCCTGTTGCTTCTATTTCTTTGCATTTTAGACTTCTCGGGGCCAATTTTGTATCAGCACCAGCTGCCCTAAGCTCCTCTTCACCACATCAGACTTTTACTTCCCAGAAAGACTGTGAAGTCTGGCACTGTCGTCTCCACCACAGCCAATTTCAAAAATATTAAATAGGTAGATGAAATTGTTTATGACTTTGTGGGGAAGAATAACTGTTGGGAAAATGAATAGAGTTTTAAGATCATTATTTAAATTGAGAAGCATAGTTATGCTGATTCCATTTAAGATTAGATAGATAGATAGATAGATAGATAGATAGATAGAGAGAGAGAGAGAGAGAGAGATGATAGGTAGGGAGATAGGGAGATAGAGAGATAAAGATAGAGATAGAGTTATACACACACATATTCTATTTATATAGCTGGCCATTGCACATATTTCTCTTTCTTCTTTGGAAGAGATTGCGAAGACCAGACTCCACTTTAGAGCACTAAAAATCTCCACAGACCATTCTCAACCTGGTCATTCATATTCATGTTCATATACCATCAGGGAGACGTTGTAGGTGTCTTAAAATGAGGACTAATAGACTGAGAAACAGTTTCTTTTCCAAGGCAATAATTGTCTTGAATCAAACAGCGCATTTGTGATCTAGTCCTATGTATACAATGGCATTTTTAAACTATTTAACTTACTAAATGTTTTAGATAGGTTTTAGACTGGGTTTATTATTATTATTATTATTATTATTATTATTATTATTATTATTATT